GCTTTGTGTTGAGAGGTGTTGTCTGCTACACACTACACACTACACACCGGTAGCTTTGTGTTGAGAGGTGTTGTCTGCTACACACTACACACTACACACCGGTAGCTTTGTGTTGAGAGGTGTTGTCTGCTACACACTACACACTACACACTACACACCGGTAGTTTTGTGTTGAGAGATGTTGTCTGCTACACACTACACACTACACACCGGTAGTTTTGTGTTGAGAGGTGTTGTCTGCTACACACTACACACTACACACTACACACTACGAGTTACTCACATGTACAGGGTGGTCCAACAACAAACAACAAAAACGGAACTTTCTTGATAAAGATTTTCCTCCGCACCGAAGTCTTGTATTTCAAATTTGTTCACATTTTGGAGTCAAAATGAATTTGTCTGATATTCAGTTGAGATAAATCCACAAAACAGTTTTTCTCAACATAACGCGTAAAAAAAACCCCAACAACCCATTTTCTTTGTAGCATGACGCACTAATTCTCATTAGGTCTAGATCTACCACTAAAAGTCCCAACCATTGCGTCATATTGCAAACTACAGCAGTCTAACAGGCCAACAGAAGTTTGCAGTTAGTTTTTCTCAAGTTTCCTTTGCCTGCCGAGCTCATGGTTACGATTAGATAAGATAAGATAAGATAGATAAGATAGATAAGATAAGATAAATTAGATAAGATAAGATAGATAAGATAGATAAGATAAGATAGGATAGGGCCTACATCTTTTATTGTGCAGATCCTGGCAGATGTAGTCAAGAGCAGAGATCTTTTTGTATGGAACATTTCCTCACCACCAACTCTTTTCGTAAGTTTCGCACAAGGTACAGTGATAATGTTACAGTGTCCTTTAGGCCTCCTTTGGTATCAAGGGTGAAAATGGTCCACTTGTTAGGACCTGTAGAGAATCAAAATTAAAGATTCCCAGACAAAACGACCACTTCAGGTCAAACACACACCGTTCACACCCCTTTAAACGTCACCAGGGTGCGGAATTCAGTAGATTAGCCCTATGATGAGACGTCTGTCCGTAGACAATGTCTGCAGCAATGACTTTCCTATGTCAACGATCTGTATTCTCAAGGCAGATCTTCACCTACGACTGTACCATTTTCCTGTTTGCGAAGCTGACATGGATCAGAAGACAGCAATGTGTTCATGATTCCTCCGTTGTAGCCTACTGTATTGAAAAGCCTGAACATTTCCGCTACGACATTTAGTTCTTTGGCAAAGCCCATATTATATTCACCTTTCTTTTGCCGGCAGTATATTATATTCACCTTTCTTTTGCCCGTCATGTCAGTATATTATATTCACCTTTCTTTTGCCCGTCAGTATATTATATTCACCTTTCTTTTGCCCGTCAGTATATTATATTCACCTTTCTTTTGCCCGTCATGTCAGTATATTATATTCACCTTTCTTTTGCCCGTCAGTATATTATAT